AAGCTTTATCAAAATCTTTCAAAGTTGGTTTTTGGACACTGGCTACTTTATAAATCTATTTTAGTCTAGTCCTTGTGCAGAAGAAAGTTTTTTGTTTGTTTATTGAGTCACTTAACAATGAGCTATGAAACATTCAGAAATGACACCTAACAACAGGTTTTATAAATGTTGAACCCAAATAGACGGAGGTCAGTAGAGCGACAACAGGGATTGTCTATAGCCATCAATAAAAACAGTGGAAGATCTGTCATGGATTGGAGGTCCATTTGTTGTTTTGTTGGCAACTGAAGCAGTGATTGTGATAATCAATGGAGATATCGAAAGGCAGCCAACATTCAAACCAGAGCTTTAGATATCCTTCGGAAGCCTGGAGAACTACTTCCTGAAGACAACAACAACTACAAGAAGAAGAATTACAAGAAAGCTATAGTTCAGGTTGTGTTGGAGAAAAAAGGTGGTAATGCCAATGATTGATTTTAACCATGCAAATTAAAGTGTATTAGACCATTATTAACCTGATGGATATGGCTGGGCATGTAAGTCAGATCTGCAAACGGGCGACAGGACTGAGCGCGACAAACAAAGTGGCCGCATGATCCCTTTATTAGAAAATTAGGAGACTACTACCCCCCCCCCCAAAAAAAAAAAAAAAAAAAAAAATGCTTCTTAGACTAATATACAAATTGTCATGGGCCGGGGTGCGGCTGGAATTTTCCATCAGGGTCCTGAGCCTACCTGAAATCCACCCCTGGCCAGTTCCTCTCACCTGGAGCTGAACCCATGTTGGTTGACGGTTTTCATATTTCATGCTCTCTTTGTGATTTTCCTTGCTGACCATAATTTTTTTGTGCTGCAGTTCCTGGATTCACCTTGTCTCAACCCTCTGGCTTACACTCCTCTCCCAGACTCAGGATACCAAACCACCATTTTGGAAATCACACTGAGCCTCACCCGCCTGCTGTCCTGCCACCTCACTCCATCAGGAACCTCCAGATCTCAGGTCAGCCTTTCACGCACTCAGCTCCCCCCCGGATTCACATCACCCTCTCTTTTTCTCCTCCGGCAAGTAATAGCAGCTACATAATACACTTACTATCTTCAGAACTCCACTCCACTGCTTCTATAACTCTGTGCTCTCTCCTCAGTGTGATTGCTAACTACTCTGTTCCAGTCTGCATCTCAGGCCTTATTTTCCCCTCTCTAGATCCACGTCCCCCTAGCCACGTTACCCAGGTCACGCCACTTCACGCCACATCAAGTTCTGTGTTTCGTTGTGTTTTGTGCTTGCCACGTTTTCTTAGTCTAACCAATAAATATATTGTAAAACCACCCGCTGTCTCTGTTCTGGGTTTCTGCACCTGAGTCCAGTTTTGGTACTGACCACTCTGTCCTGTGACACAAATTCCCAAATTTAAGGTTTTCCTACTTAATTTTCAGTTTTTGTTCAGTTTTTTGCTTTTTTAACTGACAGTTTCTCTTGAGAGTACGTGCTCTAACAATTGCCCCAAAAGTTCACTCTTGCTTATCTTTACTAAGATAACAAGAGTGAAATGCACTACAAAACAGTATTAACCTATATTAACCTCTCCAGGCTTCTGAAGGATATTTAAAGATCTCGTTTGAATATTGTCTGCCTTTCAATGTCTCCATTTGTTATAGTCATAAAATTCTACCTTGTAATTAAGTTGGGCATCATCTGGGAAGTTTATGTACTGTCTTCTCAATACACAAATGGCCTTGCATACTCTGTGAAAGACTTTACACGCTGTTGGTTCACTGACCCCACATAAATCCCCAGTTTCTCTGTGAAAGGTGCCCCATGCCGAAAAACATAAGGTTATGAGCACCTGCAGACTTATTGGAACAGGCAGTCCTCTTTGGTTAACAGATGAAAGACTGGGTTCCAAAAGGGTAATGATCCCCCCAGCATTTACTTTATGCATTCAAAAACAGTCTCAAACTGATGTTTTGTAGTGGGTCACATCTGTCAGCAAGAATTTGTCTAGCAGGTGGTATTCGGTGACCATCACTGAGATACTCCAAGTAATCCATGTGTCTTCTTCAGCAAACAGCACTAATGTAAAGTTAGACCTGCCTGCTGGGAGCTTTTATTTAAACCTCAATTTATGCCTGTATTAGCTCTAATCCTCCTCCAGGAAACAAGTTTGTTTAGTTAGAAAAAGGCTTAGTCTAGTACTGTTTTATACTTTGACTGAGGAAACAGATTTCTGTTAGTCTGCATTTAAAGGTTGTTTAAATCTAGGACTAACTTTAATCTCTGTCTGGGAAACTCTCCCTTATTGATTAAATTTATACCCGATTATGTTCTGATCAGTATGAATTATGGTTCTGTGTCTATTACAACATTTAATACCACACTCACTGGAGAGTATATATCTAGCCTTCATGTTTCCCCAGATAATCTGAAGGAGGTGGCGTAGGCGGTCTGGGCTTCCCTGCTTAGGCTGCTGCCCCAACAACCCGAGTTCAGGTAAGCAGAAGAAAATGGATGGATGATTAATCATTTTGTAATTCTAGATTTTTATCTTTTATTGAAGTGGATGTCATGAATTTTCAACCAGCGTGCATCATTAATATTGCACAGTGCAACGCATCACACTTTTCAGTCGCAGTTTATTTGTTTTTTGGATGTTAACTTGTCACATTTTAATAATACTTTAACATCTTTTGTAGTAATATGTTTTCGTATTGTATTTAAGATCAGTTTATTTCAAGCCTTTTTCTTTCACTGTAACACGTAATGTTTTTAATGCATAATGCGAAGTGCCGTACAGTTAAATGGCATGATCCATTATTGAAGAATCCGATTAATGGTTTAAAATGCCTTTGTTTAGTGAGCTTTTGACATTAAATGGTTTTTGAATTTAGCTTGCAACCTGAGTGTTTAGTTTTAGACTAGTCAGTTAGTCAAATTTATTTTGAAGAAATAAAAGCATGAATAATCATGAACATGTCAAAAATCTTTTGTATATATTTTGTATATATTTAGCTTGCATATTCTAGCATGCTAAAAAAAAAAAAAAAGCAAAAGAAGGCCAAGGGAAAAGAAAAATGTAATTATTGCCTCAACAACAGCATTAGTCCTCAAGTCTTTAACAATTAAAATGTGTTTATTTTTCAGCTTGTACAGTTTTGTAGTTTATGATTAACAGCAGTAGAAGGACACTATATATCACAGAGATCGTCTAAATTATTGGTATAACTATGTCTTCTTTCACCTATCATAGTGATGTGCAAACGGGTGGAAAACTGCATCCCCACAAACATGTGTTTGCTCACTCAGTTGATGATCAGACAGCCAAGACGTGGTTTGTGACACATCATACACAAGCAAAAGTACATTAAAACACAGAATATGATGATGAGTTTATCATGAGGCGAGCTGAAGGAGGAGTACAGCCTGCTGCTAGGGCAAGACAAACGTCAATCGCAGAGTCCTTTGGTGTTGCAGCCAGATACTGTTGCAGAATTTTGGAAAGCGACTTATGTCTATACTTAGGTTTTTGTGTCTATGTTTAAATAACGAGAATTCACCACATCCTTAGAATTACAGAATCCCATTTGTTCACATTTTAGCGCACCTAAAGTGGATTATATAGACTATCCTGTATCTTTAAACATATACAGCATACTTACAGTAAAACAGCAACAGCAAGGGGTTATATAAAAAATAATAAAATGACAACGTCACCTAGGGGAATTTCACCCCCAAGAACTATAAAGTCTTCTTAAAAACCAGAAAAGGTCGCACAGGTTTAGGGATGCACAACTGAGGCAGATTGGGTCCAATATTGATATGTCTTTAATTAAGCTTATAAAAATAAAAAAAAGAATAAGACAATAAAAGTTGACTGTGGTATAGCTTATTCTATAACAGTGTCCTGGATTACATAAAACCATACACTGAACTGGACTTAGGAAGGCCTGAGAATTGCTGGGAACATGTAGTGGCCACCAGCTGCATAATGACACCAGGTATCTGTACGGCTCATGGGCCGCACACCTTGATGGTACCTACAGGGTCCTCTGGCACTTGGTCAGCAGACTGGTGACACTGATGCAGGGCCTCCAAAACTGGCCCTGGTGCCTGGGACAGAGAAGGTGAATTAAACAAAGACCCACCATAAGCCCCAAACAGCTCTTGATAAGAGCGGTCACATTCATCCCTAAAATGCCAAGAACAGAGGGCATGGCAGCAGGAGTGTCTCTCAGTACAAGGATCCAACAAGAGGACATTTCCTTACCACACAGGAGTACACTGAGCTCTAAATAACCAATATAACGAATGGAGAGCCCATTGGCAGCCCAAAGCTGCAACCAATGACATGAATGAAGGCATTCTTGTCCCCAAGGTGCAAAATGTGTCAAAAAGAAACTCTCTGTGATGGTGGAAACCATAGACCCAGTATCCACCAAGCACGGGACAGTCACCCCATTTATCAAAACATCAATCTCAACAGACAGCAACTTAGGGACTTGGTAGGGACTGCAACACTAAAACAATAAGGTGCTAATATCTTATTGCTCTTCCTTCTAAATGTGGATACTGCTGTCTTATCTACAATCAAAACACTCTGAAATCTTCAAATTGTCATGGTCTGTGTGGCAGACCGTGGGAAATGGGGAATGAGGACCGAGATGCAGGACTCTTAATGATGAGCGGTGCGTTTATTTACAGTGATGTAAACAGTTTACACAAAGCCCATGCTCTCCCCTGACTCCCGTGCTGTGTCTTCTTCCCAATTGCCTCGTGCTCTCCCCTCTGTGTGTCAGCACTCCCAATGTTTGCTGCTCTCGGGCTTCCCATGCTCCTCCTGGGGGGAAACAATAGACGCAGCCTTCAAGACACACAACCCCTGTGGGCGTACACTAACTTTGACTTGCTCTCAAGACACTGACATGGAGTCTCACTCAATCACCCTGCGTCGGTGGAGGCTTCACCACACCACACCACACAAGTAGCTCCCTCCACCAACGCTGATCCGCTGCAGGTGTGTGGCATCCTCCTGGGGCGTGGCCAGCCATCCTCAGGCCTGACGGTGCCT